GATATTATTAAAAATATTAGATTATTTTGAAATCTTTATAAAAATATATTTGATTAGTTGGAATAAATTTATAAATATATTATATTAATATGTTTCATTAGAAAAAATAAATAGATGAGTATGTTATTTAAATTATTAAATTATACTCTTTATATATATATATAAAGAAAAAATAAATAGGTGGTGTAAATGTAACCTTATTATTTTTTTTTTTGGTTGGTGCATACGTGGAACTCGCCCGATCATGGGTCCCAAAGCTTTTGGTGCACTCACCGCCTCCTTATAACTCTTACCTCATTCATTCCATCTAAGGGCTTGCCAACATTTTGGCTAGCTGGATTGGACATTTGTATTAATTGGTCCATTTCCAGAGCCTTCTGAATGGCTGACGGAATATGTTTTACTCAGGTCAATTTCATGCAGAATCAGCCAATAGGCCTGGACATATGTGCTTCATTTTCTTAACACAAATGCAATTAGAAAATTAATTCAATGGCATTTATAGATTCAATTCCCAAGATCCTGCACGTTGGGCTGTAAAGGATTCATAATTGCTAAGCTTTGATTTTTCTTTATCTTTTTTGTAGTTTGTTGTAATAAGAATTGAGATGAAGGAATAAATTAAACTGAAATTCCCATTTCCCACTCACAACTTTGAAGCTCAACCCAAATGATGTGGAATTCCTTTAAGGATCTTCTTCTTCTCTTCCTATTGAGCCAATTAGAAAAATAGACTTAGAACCCTAAAATTAAAGAGATGAAGGAAAAATTTAAAGTGAAAAACATTATCATTGCTTTTTTGTCTCCTTTCATAATCAGTATTGATCATCGAAATTCTAATAATTCTCTATTATTATTATTATTATTCATTTGCATTAGTAAAAGTTACATGATAATCTTTTATTTGTACGTATTGAAACTATTATTGTACGTGCTGAAGAAACCTTCGTTTGAAGCTAAAAAGTTACAGTGTGATCTTTGACAAAGAAAAAATTCAGAGAAGTATTAGCAGACGTGAAAGCTTTTATGAATTGGGATTTTGGACATGAAGTATTACCCTCATTATTCAATTGTGGGTGAGCATAAAAGCCTTCAACGTCCGCTAACATTAGTAGAAGAGGAAATGACAAGAATAACCTCTTCTATACATTAGGGCAATACTACATTTATAACCTAATTTCATAAACTTTCTCTTATAACTCTAACTCAACAGTTCGTAATTGGGTAGACATAACTTATTGCGAGCTGTCATGTCAGGTTGTGAGATAAATTTTATAAGATCTAATTATGAGCCACTCTTTATCCTTAGTAGAATTGTAACCCTAAAAAGTTTGCAAATTGTTACAATTCTACAAACTTTGTGGGTTATTAGTAGAATAGTAATGTTAGGTTTACAACCCAATCTTACAACTTTTTTTCATAACCCCCGACATGACAGTTCACAATTGGTTAAGTAGGTGGGACCCATAGCAAGTAGACGTGACTCATTTGTGAGTTAATTAACTACAAGCTGTCATGTCAGAGGTTATGAGATTGGATTGTGGACCTAATATTTTTCCTATTAGAATTGGTTAACTCTTCCTAATTATAGCTCTCAATTGGTCACCACACATTTGGTCAGGCAAGACTCATTGTTGGGCAAACGGAACTCATTGTGAACTGATCAATTGCGAGTTGACATATTGTGTTTGTAAGAGAAAATTAGTGTGTAGAGTTTGTCAGCGTAATATTACCCGCTAGACAAAATATGCATCAAAGTGAAGCAAATTTGCATTTGTTTTATTAGTGGTCTTTAGATCAACTCCCTACTTCCAATTATAATGCTCATTGCTCAGCAGTTTATTAAGCTTCTACTTCTTTTATGCACAGTGATTCAATTTCTGGGATTGGGCTTGAAGCCCAAAGGGACAGTTCTTCCTAATTAATATCATAGTTGGGCAAAGCCCAGAGGGAGAGTTCCTCTTAATTAATATCCACCTTTGGGTGCTTTTTAGTTTCCATCAATAATATCTCCTCTGTATGTTACTGAATTACTAATTAATTTAATTCATTAACTCTGTAATTAACCAAATTTAACCTCCACTTAATCAGGTTAAATTTTGTACCTGATTGTTCGATTTTTCACAGGTTTACTCGTTGGTGCACTTGCTAACATTTCTGATGCCGAAACTGATATCTTGTTTGACTTTGGCAGGCCATGGTTCAATTTCCACGAGGAATTCTTCTTCCTCATTTATTTGAGGCAATGTCATTGTAAGAGTCTTCTTCAATGGATTCTTGACCTAGCCAAAACTTTGTCAGTTTCATCTGATCTGATGTCAATATGCCTGCTTCGTCAGTGCAAATAACTGTGGCCGAGCCCATTGTCTCGCAAGCTGAAAGTTTCCATACAATTGCCTCATCACTCATCATTCTCTTCATGGTATGAGCAAGTGTGAGAGAGACAACTAAAGATAAGCCTTTTGGGTTTGCTGCTAAACAAATGGCGCACTGGACTCAGCAAGAGATGCAATTGACTTCAATGCATCATCAAATCAGTTTTACTACCATTAAACTCCTTCCCACGCGGACATGCCTACTCTTTCAATGGAGGAGCTTCGTTTCTTTTGGTATGAAAATTGTTTTCTGAGTTCTTGGTATCAGGTACCAGAAAAATAATGTTTTGGATTTGTTTCTTTTGGAATGTGATTCTTTTCTAAGTCTTTTTCCTATCAGTTTCAGGTACCTCTAATTTATATTCTGAGTCAATATGAAGATATGCATGCACAACTCCTAGAATAGAAATTAGGAATATCAATCTCCATCAAGATATGTAAGAAAAAGTGCCTATGGAAACAGTACCAAAATTTTTTCGTAGCGGAGTACTAAATACAAATGCTGATTATAATTAACCACTGGGAGAATGATATCCGTTGTACGTGCATGCAATACCTAAGGGCTATACTAAAGCTTAAAATAAGTTAATTACTTGATAACTTTTTCTTATACCTTACTTATCAATTTGTACACATATATCCATACACAAAAAGCTAAACAATTAGAAATCAGCTCATTTAATGGCTGAGATTAAAGTTTAAATAAATAAATTACTTGATAATTAACTTCGTTTTACTTTTTCTTGATTTATACATGTACATACACAAGTAGTATAATTAAGACTTTAGAAATCAACTCTCTCTCTCCCAGTCTCCCACTTTCTCTACTTAATTTCTGCATACCTTGCAATTCGATTAGCAATGTCAATTTTCAAAATTTTCTCAAAGAAACTCACCAAGACAGATGTTGAAAATAGATTGTCAGTGACAACCAAAAGCCTCAGTTCCTTCCCTCCATTCGGAGAACACCAGAATTATCTGGATATCTTGGTGGACGATGATGAAGGCCACAAGTGGCCCTTTCGCTTGGTCGTCCGCAGGGGCCGGTATGGAAAGCCTGTTCTTTCAGTGGGTTGGCTTCATTTTGTTGGGACTAAGCAACTCCAAAGTGGTTTCTAGGTGAAACTTTATGGGGAAGAAGATGAAGTTACAATCAAGGTCAAATACAAGGTTAAACTGAAGAAGCCCTATATTGTATTCAAAGCTAAGCTTGGTTATGTATCTCTGTACCCTGCTGCTTAAAGGCAACGTATCTTTCCTTCTTTTTAACCACGAATGCATGCAGCGTTTCCCATGCAATTGTCAAATGTACTCTAGTTTTCTTAGGGTTATGTTTGAGTGTGTACTCTTTTTTTATGGCTATTTGCTTTCAAGTTTCAGGTTTGGTGACTTTGGTGAATGTAGCTGATGGTGCGTCTCTTTTTGTTGTTTAATATTTACTATGATATAGTGAAATATGGTTCCAATATTTTCATTTATTTGATTCTCCACTTTAATCCAATTTAACTACATGATATAAATCTATCGTTGTAACCCACGTATATCGGCTATGTCTTGTATGCTTGTAATGGGGAAGGATTTTGAGTATCCAATGTAAATTGGTGTCAAAGGTTAATAAAAGACATGTATTTTGCTTAGTAGCTTAGAGGAATGGTTGTTCTTGAAGGTGGAATGAGTGTTCCAGATTTACCCTAAAAATCTCTGATTTTCCATAATAGGGAACGGGCACAAGAAATCGAGTCATTCTTGTCATGAACAACTTGAGGATGAACAGCTTGCGTGAAAGGGTCGTTCCATACTTCCATGTCTTAAGAGTTTTCCCTAGTTTGGGCAGAAGCATGAACGACTTAGTGGAATGGTGCCGTTTATGCCTGGAGTAGGCCGATGAGCGTGCTCCACCCAACCTCGCCAATCGTTGGCTGATTCTGGAAAATTTATAGATTCGTATATTTAAAATTTCATGATTTTCGTAGGCAATTTTATAACCAAATTTGTACATACTTATACGAAAATCAGTAGACATACATGCCTATTAAAAATAGTGTTGCATGATGATGGTCTCCAATGGCTAGACAAAATATGCTTCAAAGTGAAGCAAAAATTTGCATTTGTGTTGTGTAATTTGTTTGATTAGTGGTCTTTAGATCAAGTCCCTACTTCTAATTATAATGCTTAGTAGTTTATCTAGCTTTCTAAACAAGTTTGTACTTATTTATGCACAATGGATTCAATTTCCTAGATTGGGCCAAAGCCCAAAGAGAGAGTTTGTCCTAATTAATATCATTATTGGGCCAAAGCCCAAATGGACAGCTCCTCCTAATTAATATCGAGCTTTGGATGCTTTCCAGTTTCCATCTATAAGTCCTCTGCATGTTACCGAATTACTAATTAATTCATTAAATCTGTAATTAACGATCATCACTCCGCTAATTAAGTTTGTTTTTTTTGGGATTGATTGTAATTTGTAAAGGTTATTATTTGGCTAGATTTAGAAACTGAAGAGGAGCAAAGTGTAATTTTTAAAAACTAATATAGAGGTTACAATAAATAGTGGACAGTTTAGGGATGCATTAGAAATAACTGTAATTTACTAAATGGCGCAAGAGTCAAACGCGAAACAAAGAGAATCAGAACAAGTTGAAGAAGAAGAATTTGACGATAGAAATCGAACATAAAAGAAAAGAGAGCAAGTTTCAAAATTAACAAATCAATCTTCGTCGATTAGTCATGCAGGTAATGGAATTGCATTCCACGAGTATGGAGGCATTGCATATATCTCCGGCCGACGATCCGCGAGGAAGTCCAGGTAAAGAGCAGCAAGCAGCCGGAGTCGGCATACTCCTTCAGATCATGATGCTTGTTCTCTCTTTCGTTCTCGGCCACGTTCTCCGTCGTCATCGCTTCTATTATCTCCCTGAAGCCAGCGCTTCTCTTCTCATAGGTTTTTAATTTATTTCAATTTTATTCCATTTTGAACCTCCCCACTTAGTTAGGTTAAATTTTGTACCTGATTGTTCGATTTTTCACAGGTTTACTCGTTGGTGCACTTGCTAACATTTCTGATACCGAAACTAATATTAGGTAATTTTATTTTTTTAGTTTTTGTGATGTGATTCTGAAAGCCTAGGTGCTTATGTCATATCTTGTTTGACTTTGGCAGGACATGGTTCAATTTCCACGAGGAATTCTTCTTCCTGTTTTTGTTGCCTCCGATCATATTATATCCTAACTAAACTTGGATTTTTGTGACTCATTTCTTGACATTTACTTTTTCGTTTAATAATTGCATATGGATGTTTTTTTATTTTATTTTATTTTATTTTGTGTATGTATGCATGTACATTACATACTACTTTTATACTGAATTGGCTCTTCAAGTTCTGTTTTTCTTGACCCTTTTTGTGCACTCAGTCAGGCTTCAGCTTGGCACCTGTAAGTATTTGTCATTGTTTCTCAATATAATCTATGAGTTAAATGCATGCATTGCGTTTTTGCCTTGAGTTGATTGCCTGATTGTTTATTTTATTTTGTTTTGGCAGAAACCATTCTTTTCTAACTTTGGAGCCATTGTAACATTTGCTATACTGGGAACTTTTATATCTTCAATGGTTACGGGTATCCTAGTGTAAGTGCTTCTCTATTTAGAAACTGCTATATTTATCTTTGTGTACGAGTAGTTGATTCATTATCTTTTCTTTGTCGCTTTCTGTTACAGTTACCTTGGTGGCGTTATGTACCTCATGTACAGGCTTCCACTTGTTGAATGTCTTATGTTTGGTGCTCTTATATCAGCAACAGATCCTGTCACTGTGTTGTCTATATTTCAGGTGCTGTGCTTTCTTATTTTTTATTTAGTACTTAAATTTATGTGCTAGTAAGCTTCAGGTATGTGAAACTTCAATTTTTAGATTTTACTATGAGGTAATATTATACTTAAGCTTTATCTTCTGTGATGTGTCTTATATTTTTTGGATTTATTGGACATAAATTCAAATTTTTTCCTGAATTACCTAATCAGGTGCTAGCTATTGTGAAGGATAAGGCCTACCATCTATGTTTTTTTTAACCTTTTTTTTTAAAATTATCTTACTTTATTCTATTAGGTAATGTTTACATGTGATGATCCTAATTGCAGGAACTTGGCACAGATACGAACCTGTATGCCTTGGTTTTTGGAGAATCTGTTTTAAATGATGCAGTAAGTTTCTTTTGTATGTTATCAAGTCCCTTTTTTTCTGTTTAAGCAAATCTTTTGTTTAATCCTCAAGACTATTTACTCCACAAATTATTTGTTTGCATGTTGCAACCGATGGTAGATGGCAATATCCTTGTACAGGTTTGTAAAGTATTTGCATCGAATATAAACTGTTAGAACATGTTTAAGGTTCGGTGTTAAATCAACCAGTACTTGGTATACAGGACAATGTCTCTAGTGAGAAGTCATGCGCCATCTGGGGAAAATTTCTTTCTGGTGGTCGTCAGGTTTCTTGAGACCTTTGTTGGCTCAATGTCTGCAGGTAGTTCTTCAATTGCTTCTTCTGCTGTCTTACTAAAAGCTATTATATTAATCTTTGATTTATGATTGACAGCTATAGTTTTGAAACTTTGAACCTGATATTGGTGTGTCTGTTGATATTATTGGGTAAAAGTTTTATCACTGTGAGAATCTCCTGCTTTCTCATGTCTATCGGTGTAACAAATTATATCTGATTCTTTGGAGTTTCAGAAGTGTTTTGTGGTAGATGCTTTGAGTGAGACTAAAGCAGGATATTTTGAAATACAAGATTTGCTTGAGTTTGTTGAAATATGAGATTAGAGTTTGAGTTTGTGGAAGACTCTATATGGTTAATGTCTGAATAACAGGGCTACAGAAATTAAGCTAGATAATTAAATGTGATTTCAGAATTTATTTTTACAGTTGAGAAAGGTTGTTTGAAGGAGATTGAGAACTTATACCCGGTTAAGGGCCATTATGTTGATATTTTAGCTTATCGTTTATGCTTTTCTTCCTGAGGTTGCTAAGAGTGTTTTACATATTGCTTTGCAGGTGTTGGAGTTGGATTTACTTCTGCTTTGATATCCTTTTCAATCAAGTCCTTTTATTATCCAGTTGTTTACTGCATGAACTTTTAGCCTTTAGAATGTATTGTTGAAACCTTAATTCCCTGAACCTTTTCAAGTATGCTGGTCTGGATATTGATAAGTGAGTAAATCATATATATTATCTTCATCAAATTTCTTCAGATATATAATATTATATGAAGATTCCTGATTAAAACATTCTGTTGTTCTCCATTCAGCCTGCAGAACTTGGAGTGCTGTCTCGTTGTTCTTTTTCCCTATTTCTCGTAAGCAGTTTCCTGGGCCATTCATTATAATGTTCTGAAACATCTTAGGTTCTTTGTCGCTTAATGTTGCAAATTTAATATAAAAATTATCTCTTTTAGGTACATGCTTGCAGAAGGCCTTGGGCTCTCTGGTATTGTATCAATATTGTTCACTGGAATTGTAAGTAGACATATATGATTTTAATGTTGAATGATGATCACCTATCACGTGTTGAAGCCGTGTAACAGAAATGTTGTTCTGTTTTAGGTCATGAAGCGTTATACATACTCAAATTTGTCAGAAAATTCTCAGCGATTTGTATCGGCATTTTTCCACTTGATATCATCATTGGCCGAGACATTTGTGTGAGTGCACTTTATTGTTTTTATTAAGTATCAAGGAATTAAAAAGATTTCTTTTATGTATGCAACTAATTCACCTTTCTTGATGTTTCCCCTGTTCAATTTTCAGATTTATTTACATGGGCTTCGATATTGCCATGGAGCAGCATAGTTGGTCTCATGTTGGATTCATCTTTTTCTCAATTGTATCCTTGGGTCCTGCATCAGAAAGTTTATGTTTAATTTTTATTTTTATTGAAGATTTTATTATTATTCCTTAACTGCTCTATGTTGATCTCAGTTATTCATTATAGTTGCAAGGTACAGAAGCTGCATTGTGAATATTGTGAACAGTTTATCAGGCCGTTTCAATGTTTACTATTGTTCTTTACAAATTTTTATTAGGGAATCATTAATCAGGTTGTGCAATCATCTTGTGCAGGGCAGTAAATGTTTTTTCTTGTGCATATTTGGTTAATTTGGTTCGACCTGCGCACAGAAAAATTCCTGTGAAACATCAAAAAGCTCTTTGGTATAGTGGTAAGAAGAGCAGAAGTCTGACAGTTTGGGGTTTACTTTATGTATTTCTGACCTCAATTAATTTTCAGATTGAGGCATCTTTTGTTGTGTTCATTTTTTGTGTTGCCAAATCCTAATGAATTATGGGCTTGTAGGACTTCGTGGTGCTATGGCGTTTGCTCTTGCTTTGCAGTCAGTTCATGATCTCCCAGAAGGACATGGCCAGACTATATTCACAGCCACCACTGCCATAGTTGTTTTGACGGTATGTAGATTGCCCCTGAACATTATATTACTACACAGATTTTTTTTTTTTTTTTGTTCTGTCATGATTGACAAACTATTACATAAGGCGCCCTTACGTTTATTATACGAAGTAGTATGAAGTAGTTATCTACATCAGAGTAATTCAAGACTTTGTCCTTTTAGTCTGACTTTTCATGTGCTTTATGTGCTATACTTTGGGCATTTGTTGATGCCTCATCTTTATTAACGAAGTATCTATTTTTGAATGTGTTGCAAGTTCACATATGACACTTATTCTTTTACACCTAAGCTTCCAATCAATTTTTCAGGTATTACTAATTGGAGGTTCAACTGGTACCATGTTGGAAGCTTTACAAGTTGTAGGTGATGGCCATGATATCCCTATGGGTGAAGTAAGTGCTGCCAAAATTAATTTAGTACCTTGTTTAATGTACATCAGAATTTCCATGAACTGGTCAGGTTGACAGGAACCAAATAGCTGAATTAGGATACTGCTGCTTGTATTTTGGCCACCAGTAAATCTGCAAAAGTTTGTGATTTACTAATCTACTATTTGTTTCAGAACTATGAGGGTAATAACGGTTATGTTGCTCCTACTTTTGATGATGATTCTTATAACGAGGAATCATCATCAGGGAACCGGTTCAAGATGAAACTTAAAGAATTCCACAAGAGGTAGCATCTAAATTTTTATCTTATCATGTGACCATAAAGTTTTCTTTTGCCATTTACATTATAATTGTTATTTGTTTAATGAACTTTTGTCCTGCAGCGCGGCATCATTCACAGCATTAGATAGGAATTATCTGACCCCTTTCTTTACAAGTCAAAATGGAGATGAAGATGAAGATGGTGAGAAAGACTATTCACATCCTATAAAATAAGATAGGGTTTTTGGAGTGTGGTGCTTGAGAAATGTTTTACTGTTATATTTGCTCGAAATGAATGGGGTTTTTGGATGGTTTGCAGATGAGCTAATGCCCATTTCCAGAAGCAGCGGCTTCCGTGGCTAAGTTAAAGAAGAATTATACTAGTAGGAAACAAGACGGGCTAACTGTGTAGATAAACATAGGGGATGATTGTGGTACAATGCTACTTGCTAATTGGTAAAAAGGTGGTTAAAAAGCTTGAATTAGAGGTATGCACACATTACTGTGGAGGCCAATTCCATGCTCTACTATATTGGCAAAATACAGTCACTTAGTCAGTCATACAAGTTCCATGTCCAAGTACTACCTCTCTCAGATTATTGTACAAGATCTAGTAAATATACAATATTATTTTTGCCTACTATATTTACCAACACGATGTAACACATATAAAGAGGTTCCATTGTCTGCATTTTATATTTTTATTTGCCTCTGTGTTCCTTTTTATTATATCATGTACTTATAATATTCAATTTGGTTGCCATTTGCGAAAATAGGGCCTTCATTGCTTTTGTTATTTAATCAAGAAAAATAATGATTCAAGGACATAGCAATCCCATGGAGATGGTGAGGAAAGGAAGTCAGGAAACCTCTTGCATTTACATGCTCCTCCGTTCTATTATCACATGCACTAGAATTCTCAATCTCAGGTTCAAGAGCGGTTTTTCATTCAAACTTCCGTTTTTATTTTCCTTCTCTACCCTTGCATCAGGCACGGGGACATTTGTGTCTTATCTCATTCCATTAGAAATTTCTCCTAAAGCGTCTTGTGGTCGGAGGGTAATACTTTAGTCATCTGGATGGGTTATCTAAAGGTCCTCTATTCAAGTCCTATAAATGTGTCTTACCTCGTTGGGCTTGTAGGTTGAGTTTTGAGGGTGTTCAATGAAATTGGGAGAGTTGGGGAACATCAGAAATTAGTTGAGGTGCATACAAATAGGGTATTTAATGGAATCCGAAGGATTAGTTGGGGAATCCCGGAGGTTAATTGAGGTGTATACAAACTAGTTTGGACTAGGGTTGTCAGTTGAGTCGAGCCGCTCGCGAGTCGGCTCGACTCGGCTTGTTAAATACTCGAACTCGGCTCGAATTTGACTTGAGTAAGTTACCAAACCGAGTTCGAGTCTACCCTGACTTGGCTCGCGAGCCAATAGTGGCTCGTTTAGGGTTTTTTTGTGCATAACACAAGTTTTTGGGTTTTCTTGTAATTTGACATGTAAAAAACTAAAAGGTTTAAAAAATCACAAATACCTTAACCAAATAAACCCCAATTAACCCAAAATCAAATCGCATAAATTCGTTCTCCCTCAATCAAGAACCCTAAAAAAACAAGAACCCCAAAAACAATTTCTGATTACCACACCAAACCACCCACAAACACAGGAACCATTGGAGATCAACTTTCAGAAGTTTGAGTTCTATGTCGTTTTGATGATATTTGATGGACATCTGTGGTTTTTTTTTTTTTCCTTAGATTGTATAATGTTGTGTTAATACTTGTTTATGTGTGATTTGGATGTGATTTATGTGATTTAAATGCAAATTTATTAAAAATGGATCTGGTTGTGTAAAACAAGATTTGCAGGTTATATTAAAAAAGGTTCAAACGAGCTGTAATCGAGCCAATTGAGCTCGTGTTAAACGAGCCAAGTCATGAGCCGAATTTTCCTGACTCGGTCTACTCGTGACTGCTCGAACTCGTCTAATGTTTAATCGAGTCAGACGTTTTAGGGTGATACTCGACTCGACGCTCGTTTAACACCCCTATTGGACATCTCGATTATAAATTAAAAAAAAAAAAAATTGGTGAGGAAGCCAAAACGAGAATTAAAAACGAGAAGGTCCTGTGTTTTTCCCGTGGACACAATTATAAGTCCTAGGTGAAAGTATTAAACCCTTTTCATCTTTTTGACCTTCCTTTACCAAAGACAAGTCCAATCGGTTCGGGTAATAATCTTAAATAGCATTTCAAAAGGAATATGACATGACGGGTCTACCATTAAAGAATACGGGTAAAAGATTCCAACTAAAACCTTCATTTGAAAATAATAGAACCGTTACCACTTGATCCTCCCTCAACGGCTAGTTTTTTCCCCCTGATTCTTTACAAGAAAACAGTGAGCTTAGCTCTCTGTCTCCTCCGTCCAAGTCCTACACATTCCCATTCCCAATCGCAGCCACGGACCTTTCCTATCCTGTTCGTATCATCCTCCAGATACGATTTTGATTTCATTTTGTTAATCGAAGAAACGGATCAATCATGAGCCAAGTTATGTCGCTACAGTTGAGCAGGCTGCCTCAACTACTACTACCAACTCCACTGCCACTACCTGCGGGGCCGTGGCTCCTCCTCCTCCTCCTCCCCCAACTCACGCCGTCCCAGAGTCAGAGGGTCAGTTCCAGGTTCATGTCTCCCGTTGCATCTTCATCTTCATCTTCATCGTCGCCGAATCACAAACTACATCAGCAGCAGAGACATAGACGGCATCAAGATAATAGTCACGGGGAAGGCACATCTTCCGCCGAGAATCACCGTCCCATCGAAACCGCTCGGAGCTTGGAGTCGCCGTTTCAATTCCAACGGTCTGTTAGACATCAACATCCGCATCAAGGAGATCTGGTAACTCCCTGAGACCAGATACTCCTACTGTTGATCTCATCTTTACAATCATCGACAAGACCTAGACTCACTCCAACGGACCAGCAGCAGCGGTGCTACGGCGCTACAAAGCTTTACAGTCCTTATCATCTCAAGAAGACACGTCATCAATCGCTTCTGATGATAACTCTTCACAATTATCAGAGTCCGATATGTTGCCACAGTTTCGAATCGATACTGGCGCAGAACATCAACAGAGTTAATTATTCGCTTAATCTTCCTATATCTACTGCTCTGTGAAGGAAGTGAAAAGGCACACCAGCTTATCGAGGTCTTATACTAACTCGGGAAACTTGGGGGCTTTTCTTTGCCTCCGGTTGCGCCACCGCAAACAAAGGCGGGGACTGAAGCCAGGAAGGGGAAGAAAGTTTCGAGCCATCAGGAAGACATACATTCTCTCAAATTGCTTCACAATCATTATCTGCAGTGGAGGTTTGCTAATGCTAGGCTGAGGTCTTTATGCAAGCTCAGAGAAGAGAAACCGAGGTTAGTGTTAAAATTGAATATGAATGTCCTTTTGTTAATTGAACTTATTTGTGGTTGATGAAATGTTGCAATTTGTTTCCTTGTAGCGAACACTTTACTGTTGTGGGGTTAAAATAGAGGAAATGTATATTCGGTGAAAGGAAACGCATTGAACTAGGGATTCTGCGGAGAAACAAATGTTATCAACATTCTTGAAGCTCAGTAAAGCTGCTGCTAGCTTGATGAATGACTTTATGTTGATCATATCTCTCAAATCAACATTGACATTTCTAACCATTTCTTAAAGATGAGGGCTGATGTTACTTATCTTCGATTTTATAGTTGTAATCTGTAAGTTGCACTTGCATATATACTACTGTTTAATTTAGCCAAGTTTCTTTTGTTATTGACACAAATTTTCTTCTTTTATGTTTTTATATTTGCATTTAGTTTACTCAAATTCTCTGATGTTCTTCTTCTAAACCAAATTAAAAAGTAATGTCTTGAAACTCCATCTTGAAAGTTAGATTGGTCCTTGGAATAATTAAAAAGTATTCAATCAGTAAAAGAGGTATACAGTAGTTCATGGCTTTTATGCATGTAAAACCTGAGAATTTACATTACTTTTCTGCAACCAAATTCAGATGCCATATCTGGACGAATGGGTGCTTTGGAAGGTGATTATTCGAATTCTTTGTCAGAAGAAATTAAACTTTGGTGAATGCCTCACTTCAACTTCCAATCGGGGGAATATTAGGTATATTTTTTGTCCATTGCCTCTATAATTGAAGAAATGTCCTTTTTTTTTTTTTTTTTTTTTTCTTATATTGCTTTGACTTTGGTGCTCTCTACACTTTACTGACAATGGGATATGTGACATGGCAGGCTGATGTTAGAGAGGTGGGGGAGGCACTCAACTCTTCTGTGAAGTTGATGGAAACTATAATTCTCATGTTCAAAGCTATATGCCAAAGGTGGATATGATTGAAACTTTCCTTGGATAATCTTGGGAGAGAAATGAAGATTTACCTAAGTTCAGAGTAAATCATTGTTGAACCAAAAAAAAAAAAAAAAAAAAAAAAAAAAATGCATAATGTTGTACTTCACTTTGAACGTGGTTGATATTCACTTTTTGAGTAGGCAAACTAGAATCAATTGCTTCTTCATCTCCCTCTTCTCCACATGATGTAGATTTGTTATGTCTAAACAAGTCGAAACATGATTAACCTTTTCTGAAAGCTGAATTATGCTTGTCGATGCAGGCGGAAGTAGTGATTTTGATGTCAGAACTAGCTAAGGTGACTGGTGGGGAAGAGCTCTTATTGAAGAATGTGGAGGTCTATTGTCTAAGACACATGCATATCAGGTTGTATTTCAAACAAGTTTGTCTGTCTCCTATCAAGTTCCTTCTTGAAAAACATACCAAAATCACTTTTCATTGTAAATCTTATCTGAATTGCATATATTTCTTGCAGGTAGAAGAGTGCAGCTTAAGAGGCGAGTTCATGCAACTGCATAAGAGGTTCCTGCTAAATTACAGGAAGAAGAAAACAAGAATTCATCACTCAGTGCTGTTCATATGATAAGACTTGAGGCTTTTTTATTTTTGAAAATTTCTTCCTCTGGAGAAGGAGGTGAGGTGGAGGGGAAAGTAATCAAAATTTCATATTCCTTTACAGTTAAATCAGGCCATAGAGTGAATGACCAGGCAAGATTGATTGATTTGTTCTTCAAATATTGTAAGGCCTGCAAATTTTGTGGCCTATTATTGCATATTTAACATATGAGTGTACAATATTTGATATCAACTTTCTTTTTGTGCAAATAATAATTAAATTATTCACAAGAAATTTGAAGGAATTTTTTTTTTTTTTTTTTTTAATAACTGAGGTATTCGGACACAATGCTAGCCAGTCCACCTAATCTTCAATGCCACGAACAATAGGAAATGGTAATGCACTTGATTATCAAATGATAATGTTATCTTACAATTCGTACGATGACACACACTAATTCAATTATTTTATATTATTTGTTATCTTATTTTACTATGTGTAAATATTGATTTTATATAAAATACAGCTATATATATTTTTTTATTTTTCGGATAAAGCAAAAAAAAAAATTTTAATTTCCAATTTGAACAAAAAAAATAATAATGCGGTGATAATGCAAAAAAATAAAGTAGTTGGAAAATGTGAAATTATCAGAAATTAGAGACATATTATAATTATAAAGCAAGTGCCACCTTGAAAGACGAAGAAGGGGGTTGAAATTTGAGTCTTGACGGAGCTTTGGGAAAA